GTACTACTGTCGCTTGTCACAAAGTAGTACTAGTGGTACTACTTCAAAATTGTGACAATCCACAGTAACATGCGGCGACTATAACATAATGACAACATGATGATAGCATGATGACAGCATGATTGCTGTATCACTGACGTTATATTTTTCCCAAGGGATCGATCCCAATTTGTCCGCAAGCTGGAAATGGATGGGTCAGATGTTTTCTATTTCCGTCCTAACTGTTCAGGAATTTTGGTGTGGATTAGGCATTTTTTGTGTGGAATTCGGTGAATTGTGTGTTGTGCTCGGCGAAGTTTGTGTGGAATTCGGGATTTATATTGTGTTATTGGGTCGTGTGTGTTTTGCGTTAAAATTTGTGTTAAGGTCGTTTCTGTGTGTATTTCGTTATTTAGTGTGTGACAAAAAAAGGTCCTCGTTCTCTCGACCACCGAGGCAGAACTTATGATTCTGTGTACAGTAGCACAAGAATGCTTGTACATGAAGCAGACAGCAGGTGAGATGGGTCATCCCATCACCTCGGCTATTACCCTCCATGAGGCCAATCAAAGCACTATCCAGATAGTGAACAACTCTGGTCACCATGGTCGCACCAAACATATTAATGTGCGCTACCATTTCATAAACGGCCTCGTCGAACAACAAGTGTTTCGACTCGAGTACACATAGCCAGCCATATCCACGGTACATCATTAGCATGCCGTGTTTTGATTGGCTAGCCATTAGATAATCCGTCGAGCCTTTAGAGCCAGTTGTTCTCACTGGTAGCTAAGCTAATTCACTTTCCGTTTCACCCGCAACCACCCAGTGTTCCCCTGGCTTTTGCACCTGCCCACTTGGAGTACGTGGGTGTGTGTAATAGGTTGACATACCGATCAATCTGATCCTGATATTCCAAAGCATACAAAATTTAAGTATAGCAACCATGACTTGTAGTCATGGTTGCAGTTGTGTATTCTTGCCACAAGTTGTACATTCTTATTCTTGACATCGCCTCTGGTCGAGCAGGCGCATTACAATAACAGGTAGATTTCGCAATTTACAGTTAATCCGTGTTCGCATCCGTGAGAAAAATGACACGGGCACGACCACGGACACGGATTAAATTTACTGACGATTTCGCTGTATAAACAGATTTCCGCGTCCGGAATAAACATAAGGGGTCAACTTTGCAATACTGTAATGCTGTTTGTGGAAGGACTCGTCATGGTTGTCAGGCCTTCCCGCTTCGCGAGGACTGCCCGTCGTCGCATACTTCTGCTCGCACTCATACCGTCGGTCGATACCATACAAATACACAGAATCATTCTGGAACTTTTCGTGGTTGTCAAGTAGCAGGTGGAACCGTGCGATGTTTTCTTGCCGTCAACTTCGAGTTCCTGGCAAGAGAAGCCAGGAACTTTAAGCAAGTTGCACGCGAGCACCCCCCATAACTTCATAACTAGATGTTGGAGGATTGGTCGCTCGTGGTTGCCTGTATCAACAGCGCCAAGTCATCCTCACTTGTCCACCTGCGCCTAGTTAGCACAAGAAGCCCCGAATGGACTCCCTCCTGTTCGGATAACCTCAACTAGTATTTCTAATAATTATCCGATTCCGTGATAGCTGATCTTTTCACGGATTCCGCTATAAAGCTTCATGAGTTTCCGTGATTGTACTAAATACTCAGGGTAATTATTACGGAAACGGACATGGATTACTTTGCAAAAGCTCCCTAATTGGCGAAGCAGTTCCACAACATGTGGTTCCAGTATCTAATAGCGGAGGAATTTAAAAGGCTGAACTTTTGTGGTAGGCGTTAAAAACGTGAACTCTACAGCTGTCATAGATGATGAACTTGTAGTACTGTCTGTACGTATGTCAATGAGATGATTTCGAGCGCCTTTTTAGAGTCTGCAACTTCTCTCAAGAATCGACAATTTCTGTCCAGTATACTCCAGAATATACAACTTCTGTCAATTAATTGATTTCGGATTATTATTTGTTTACAGTTAAGACTTTTGCTAATGGTGGTCTGTATTATACGTATGGGCATGTTCCGTGACACTTTTTGGGACTCTTCTATGGAGGGGTTCCTTTACTCCAAATTGCTAATACAATATTGTTTCTTAAAGAGGAAAATTAATCCAGTTCGTAGACTTAAATCATGCCATTGGTGTTGATGTAAAATACTCCTGGAGTAAACTAAAAGAGTGAAAATATCCATAGACTAAAAACAGTTTCGAGGCACTTGATTTTATCCAGTTACCTCTCAAATCGCAAATGATATTGCAGGTTATTGGTTGAAAATTTCGGAGTGATTGCTTTCTACCAATCACGTATTGTGGCACGGAACCAAGTTGTCATGGAACTGCGCTCATACATAAAAGCATCTTTTGGCGTCATAAAACAGTTGTGGGAGCGACCGAGTGTCCAACAACCACGAAGGAGGCACGCGTATGGGGATAGTACGATCGTATGTGCGCAGAGTACAGTGTCAACCCACCGTACTGCAAGTGTTACTTTACTGTCTTTATGTGGATCCTTCGTCCTTTGAAAGTGCGATACAGTAGCAGGTTTCTCGCAAGAATGAATGTCGGCCACGCTGTTGGATATTTATGACGCTAAAGTGACTTAACGTGACTCTTAATGACAAGAGGACATGAGCAACGTGGGTGCATGTATGTATGACGTACGCATCCCAACCATCCATTTGTTTAACCTTTGTACTTGGTAGTTCAATCACAGTCTGACGTTAACGATTGGATTGACTTGGCTCTAGATGAAAGACCATTCATTTTCCAATTTCCATCATGAAGTTCGCACTCCTTCTCTGTTCCCCGTGACCGTCGCCGCCTTGGCTCAAGACCAAGTTGTCCCAGCCAAAGTCGCTTGGGGCGATGAGGCCCCTGACGATGGTTTCGAAATCGTCGGGGGTCAGGAAGCCCAATTCGGCAAGCACCGTTATGTGGCTGGGCTGAAGGAGTCGCCCAATGGTAACTCCGTGTGCGGCGGCAGTCTGATCGCCAGCCTGGCATAGTTTGCACACATTTTCTGCTTGTAGTATGCGTTTTAAAACTCTGCTATCCGGAATAATACGGAGTTTGGTATTTTGACGATGGGAATGAGTGCATGTGCTGTGGGTTCCACTAAAAGTAGGAAAGGCCCCGGTAGAAACCTTGCAACTATGCTAAAACTAAGTCGCGCATCTAAACTAAGTAACGATGTGGTCTTTGACGCGTTGGCTGGAAAGCACCTAACTCCACCTCGCAGAAACATCCATTTGCTTCGCTGCTTGACACGTGACGTGTATGTCAGAATGCATGTCGGTGCCCACTTGCAAGTATGTCCAATCACATGGCTAATTGTCTCGTGACATGTTGGTCAGAACACAGTCGGCGCCCACCTCGCGGGCACTGCAATATCTCCGCAGATTGACTCGTGATGTGTTGGTCAGAGTGCAGTCGACCTGTCTTGCAGGCACGACCGCTGTGTTGGATGTGGTGAACAGTAATACCGTATACACTTCGGAAGGCGTTCGGCAGTGAAGTAGTAGTTTTTTCGAACTATCGCCGTGTTATGTGGCATCACATGCGGACAAATAATTCTGTAGAAAGTTGGAGTGCACGATTTGCTTTACTAAATACAGCATAGGTTTCGGACCTGCACATATTTCTATTGAACAACATGACGAACAACACGTCCGTCAACACACTTTGGACGGTGGGTTCTTTATTACCATGACGTTGTGTGGCACGAAATAACGAATAACATGTCCAGGGACACTTGATGTGAAGGTCAATGTGCTTCGTGGAAACAGCAAGGGTTTCCCACCTACGCTGCGGTGAAAAATTGATGCTGGCAATATTTGGGGTCAAGTGTAGGGTAAGTATTCAAAATAGCTTGGGTTTCCTATATTTGCCATGATGGTTGATGATACGATAGGGAAATATCGGCATGGTCGTATGATGCAGAATAGTTTATTTGCTTCAAAAAGTAGGTTGTCTCATGACCGTCATGTGAATGGATGTGTGCACGATATTTAGAAACAATGAATTCCGTGTTATGGAGTATCGAGGTCATCCTTGGTTTCGTCCTCCGAATACGCTAACTCAATTCGTTGCAACAACTCGCGCTGGGCTTCGCTCCTCGTATCGGGCAGAGACTATTCACCGTCTGCGGTAGTGTTCCACAATTGCTGCACTGTCGCGGTGATCATGGGTAGTGCCTTCAACTTCGCATTCTCCTTTGTCGACTTGTTCTTGGCCATTCCTTTGGCCGACACTTTGGTGTGTTCCATAGTCACTCCATCGGGGTAGCTTCCATCACATTCAAGTTTACGCTCGCTGGCTTGGCCGTAGCCTTAGCATTCAATTCATTCTTTCTAATCAAACGACATCAGTGCCATATAGACTTTTGCTATAGGGACGACCTGGAGGAAGGTGGTGACGCTCTTACGGAGCAATCCCATTGTTCCACCCTCCGTATCAAGGCAAGCATGGTCCAAATGCCCGAAGCCAAGGACGCAGTGGAAGCGGCACTCCAAGACCTGATCAACGAGGCGATCAATAACGTGACCTTACAAAACATGACATATGGCGGCTCAAGTTCAATTTGTCCGACCCCCCAGCAGTGAAGCCATTGAAGGTGACCCCCAAGGATGGGTGTGTTCCGTACCGATGTAAAGGTCAGAAGCACAACCTCCTTGAGGAGAGCTTCCTCTATTTGTTTGCTAAAGAACTCTACGACGCGGGTGTCATCAAGCGCAACCAGCAAAGCCCATGGTGCAGTCCGGTGAACCCCGTCCTAAAAACCGATGGCTGAAGCCATTGAAGATAGCAGACCAATGGACAGACGACGACGTGTTGAAGAACTACCGTCTGACGAACGACTACCGGGTGGTCAACTCCATGACCAAACCCAAGGCCGGTACCATGCCGTTCCAGGCTACCATCTTCCAGAACCTTCGGGAGATGAAAGCGATGGGTGTGTTTGACCTGCCCAAGTACTTCTGGTAGTACCCGCTACTCGAGGGGACATGTTGGCGTTGATGCCCAATACCCCTGACCGGGTGATGCAGGGTCATATGGACAGCGCGCTCTACATGCGGTCCACGAACGAGGAGTGTTATCAAGACATGATGTTTAAGAACATGATGATCTGGATTGACGACATCTTTGTGTACACCGAGAACACCGAGGTGAATGTGGTGGCCCTCGAGAACTACTTCGATCGAGTGGCACACATTGGTTTCAAGCTGAGTCCATCTAAAATCAAGCTGTACACTCATGAGGTCAAGTGGTGTGGGTGCATTATCACTGGCGAAGGGGTCAAGCAGGACCCGGAACGGATCCAGCACGTCTGTGCCATTCCCTATCCTACGAACGCGGGCGACTTGCAGCAATTTGTGTGTGTAGTCAACTGGTTGCGGGACTCCATGACCGAGTATTCAAAAACAGTGGAACTACTCCAGCAGTGCTTGGCCAAGGCCAAGGCAAGGGCAATAAGCAACACATCGCGTCTGGTGTTCACTTGGAACTAACCGACGTCTAAGCGTTGGATGAGTGAAGTCCAAGTTACGGGCGTGCGTGATGATGCAACGATGTGCCTGTTCACGGACACCAGCGACTATGGATTGTCAATTGTGGTTAAGCAAGCGGTGGAGTTCAACGAAGCGACACTCGATTTTCACCAAGTCCTCCAGCAGCGATCCAAAAGCAACAATACGAGCTACTACTATGCCAGTCGGGAATGTTTGCGGGCGCGCAGATGACGTGGTTAGTGATCGAAAAAGAAGCGTACCCGATCACGCGAGCGTGCGAGAAGTTGAACTACCTGCTGATGCTGACGGGATTTCGCCTGTACTGCGAAGACAAGAGCCTGATCCATGTGTTTGCAAAGTGAGGAGTGGAAAGCACACACCCGCGGGAAACTCATGTGTGGTGGGCTGCTATTATTGGCGGCTACTGCTATGACATTATCCACATCGACGGTATCCACAACCTATGGACGGACATGATGAGTCGTTGGGGCTAACCGACTCCAAGTCTGGTGGCGGAAACGTGTACTCGTCCGACGCGGACATAATTGGACGAAGAGACGACGCCCGTCACAGTCGAAAAAACTGACACGACCACAACAAAAGCTACCCCGTTTGAACGACGACTTCGTGTGGCCCTGTGTCAACGACACCCGTAGGGCACAAGAAAAACACGCAAGCGAACGACCGCCCAGGACGACGTATGACGGCGAGTTGTGGTATGTGGACGACCGCCTATGGATACCAAGTTTGGCGGACAACCTGATACAACGGATCATGTCACCCACTGTGGACACCGAAGTCACGAAGCACGAAGCACTGGTAGCCTCGATCAGGCGTCTCTTCTACCTCGACCGCCTGGCCGGCCGAGCGGCGGAATTCCTCCAGGGTCACCTTACTGTGCCCTCATGTGAAAGGGGGAAGGTTGGTCCACAGACCGTATGCACCAAGATGGCACGCGAAGGAACGCAACGAAGGAATTCACTTCGACTACCTGTAGATGGGTGAGGCCTACAGCAGCGCAAAATATGTATTGGTGTCCAAGGACGAACTTACTACGAGCTGATGGCCTGCGATGGCCCTACTAGTCAAGTGTGAGTTGAAGGGTTGGTAGACTGGACGAAGCGTTTTGGGACCCCACGAGTCTGGGTCAGCTATCAAGGTACCCACTTCAAGAACGTGGCGATGAAGGCGTTGACGCACATATTCAAGGTGCATCACGACCTTACATTGACTTATTGCCCATGGAGGAACGGCACAGTGGAGCGCATGAATCGCGACATCCTTCAAGCCATCCGGGTGATGTTACGGGACTACCAGTTGGACGAGAAGGAATGGGACTAACTCCTACTGGTGGTGCAGTCCAATCTCAACCAACTCCGGCAGTGTGATTAGCCAAGAAGTCCCCCATGGTACTCTTCACGGCCCTCAACGCAGTGACCCCTTTGGACGTCGTTGTGGTGGGCGTGAAAAGGATCTCTGCGATGTCAAGTGGCAACACAAGGACACCCATAAGTACCTCGACGAACTGCGAGCAAGTTTCATGCGATGCACAAGGAAGTGTTGAACCGCAACGAACAACACACATGCAAGGCGGCGAAAGCTACGGATACCTTCGACGTCTGCAACGTGGCCGAAGGCGACAACGTGCTGTGGTCCAGGGTGGATGAGCGTTATTATCCCCAGCTGCTCGTCACATGGATCGACCCATACTGCGTCAAGTCGGTGGGCGAAATCTCGGTGGTGTTGGACCACCTCGTGACCCATGAAGAACGCGAGGCCCATTCGTCACACGTGATGATGTATGAAGAAGCGAGTTTTGAAGTCACAGAAGAAATACTCGAACATGTATCGAGCAAGGAATTGTGCTGAAGGTCCGATCCATCGCGGGACACAAGTTTGTCCCGGATGTGAGTGACTTCATGCTGGAAGTGTTCTGGGAAGGCTTTGAAGACACCGAATCCTCGTGAGGGCCGCTCAAGAAGCTGATGCGCGAGTGCCCAGCCGTGGTCAAAGCATACGTGGCGGCGAACAAGAACGCCGAAGACCACAATACACTCAGCAGGACGATGAAGCGTGCGAGTATGGCGAAGTAACGAAGCGGGAGCCTAAGTGTTTGGCGGTGATATGGTTTGGGTGAAGTCTTGTGGTCGGTGGCTGTCAGCCATTCCCCACCATGACAAACAGGGACCCTTGGCGCCAATTCCGTGAACCGACGCGTACGATACACTCTAGCAGTACTAGTAGTAGTATTAGGAGCTAGTTGTAGTGCTGGTCGGGAATGGTAACGATAGTCAGCCAATTAGTGACCGCCTCGGACCACCTACCACTTCTACAGATGCTCACTCCTAGTTTTTCTCTGCAACGGATACATCAATCACGTGCGTGGTTCACAGGATGCGGCGCTCCCCCTTTTGGCTGTTTGTGTTGTCGCAGTGCGGGAATCAACACATGTAAATATTCCATTGGATTCAGGGGGGTTTACACCGACAACTCTCCCAGCGAGCACAGCGTCACCAACGAATACCTTACATTACTTAGTTACAACTGAACTACATTTCGCACATGAACCTCTGAAATAGTTTCAAACGCGTTACTGCTGCAGTTTGAACCCTCATCCATTCTTTGCGACTTGAATAGCAAACTGTCAAAGCGTCGGAGGTAGTGTACATCCGAATGCTGCGGATGTTATAGCGTCGGTGGAACCGTTTGACCACACGTTTTGGTTGTATCGTGAGAAATTTTGAATGGGAATGTACTGTTCCTCCACGCTGGTGGAGGAACTACCGGTAGCGTTAACGTTACTGGTAGTTGCGTTAACGTTACCGGTAGTTGTTATTCTAGGTTATACAGGGAGGTGCGGGAACTGACGAAAACTCGTCATAACACGAAGTTATGGAAGGCTAAATTCGAGGCATGTTTGGCGAAAGCAAAGTCTGGAATTTCTTCGCAGTCATCCAACTTGTTGGAGAGGGACTTTGGCTACTGTACTGACGCACTTTCTAAATCGCTCACTGCAAGTGCGGTGCCTTGCATTCAGAAATTCGCGATGTTGCACTTTGAAAACAGAGTTTGTTCCGGATATTCCATTACTTTTGCGGATGCAATATTTTATGGCGCATGTGCATGTTTTTGTAGTACTCGGACGAGATGTCGACATATATCGAAAAATGGACGAACTTTGATGACGTTTTTCTCGAGCTGTGTCATACTTACTGCAATACACCTCGTACTACAAGATAGTCCATTACTAGCTCAGTCTATGTAGCATAGTCTGTGCATACACAGTCTCTCTGGCATCAGGCATCCTACCCGCATGTACAGTACACGCTTGTTCTTGAAATACAACGAATTTGGCAAGTTCGAAGTTTGTTCTCAACAGCTGTTGATTCAGGCGACATGCAATAAGGTGTTGTAGATAGTGTCAAGGGGGACGATGTAGGGGGTAGCACTGAGAAGGAACGACGACGAAGAACAGTTGTGTAGTTGAGGACAAAACTAGCTGACCTATGATTGGGCAAAAACAGTCCAGCTTCTACAGGATAATACCGGATAATTCCGGATGACCGGATTGTATCCGTAAGTGACCGAACCTCGGCAAAAAAGGCCAAAGCAAGAACGGCCAAAGTGCCCCTTCTTGACAGCCACCCCACAGCGCAACGGACTGCTGAAGGCCTTCGAGACGAAGTTCTCAAAAAGAGGCAATGCCAAAGGCAAAAAGGGCTTAGCAAAAAATTCGCGGAGGCCAAAAAGTGCCAAAGGCATATCACTACAAAAGCCACCATGAGAACAGAGGCGAAGAAGATAGGACAGGAACACACATAAAATAGTGTTGAGCACATAAGTGCATGGTTTCTCATAGAGTAAGGCAAAAGCCTACGATAATTCAACAATGCAAGAGTGCTCAAAGAGCATGGTAAATACCATAAAGTGCATATATGCAACAAAGAATAAGAAAGTGTGGCTAAAAGTAGCGGGTAAAAACCCAAGTAAAATTGCCATAGCAAAAGTACAAGTAATACTCAGAGAGTACGGTCAAAACCCATGAATTGCAAGTAGGATGGACGGGGGCGTGGGAGCACCATGTAGGAACTTGGACAAACCATGACACCACTCGTACGGTCGATCCTTGAGCAGCGCCGCGGGCCAGACCGGACCGCCGACTTCAAAACGGCACGAGCAGACATAGAGTGCACAAGTCGCCACGTGGTCGAGGGCGAGAATGAAGACGGTGAATGAAAAGTGTGTGCTTAGAAAGCAGGTGCAAATAATGCATGATAAATATCAATAATAACCACAAAGGTTTAAAAATAAAGTAAACACAATGCCATAGGCAAGGGTCACTGGGGTACACGGCCACACAGGTAGTCACCAAGGGCATAGAGTCGCAGAGCGAGGCAGAACCTGCGAAACGCAGGTTCCGGGTACGCCTTCGCAAAGAAGTCTGCAAGTTGTTCTTTGGTAGGACAATAATGGAGAATAAACTCCTTGTTCTTAACGAGATCGCGAACAAACATAAAACGCACATCAATGTGCTTGGAGCGCCCATGATGCTCAGCATTGTGGGCGATGCTGATAGCAGACTGATTGTCCTCATGAACCGAAATCGGTTGATCACTAGTGTGATGTAGTTCGGCAGCGAGTTGGCGAACGTATAAACATACTTGAATCAAACTCGGCCTCGGTTACTGACAGAGTCACAATTCCTTGTTTCTTTGAAAGCCATGAAATAAGGCTATTGAAAAATAGGATAAAAGATCCACTGACACAGCGTCGAGTATCGGGGCACATGGCATAGTTAGCATCCACATAAGTGGATAGAAACGGCTTGGAGACATAGTCTCGGCCGCCTAACATAAGTCCAAGATTGGAGGTGCCTTGGAGGTAGCGTAGAACGCGTTTGGCAGCACGCCAATGGGCAAGACCCGGGTTGTGCAGAAACTGCGAGAGTTGTTGAAGGGTATAAGCCAAGTCTGGGCGAGGCCCATGGCTAAGTACATAATACTGCCAACTATTGACCGATACGGTTTGGTTTGCATAAATGCAATGTCGTCAGGTGAAATAGCACACTGAGTCTTGGATAGAGGCGTGGTGCACTCAAAAGGAGTGGCGACGGGCTTGGACGTTGACATGTAAAAGGGATCAAGTACTGTAGAACAGTAACGTGATTGATGGATGAACAGAGTTCGTTTGGAACGGTCACGGACGATTTACCAGCCGAGAATATCTCGTACAGGACCTAAGTCCTTCATCTGGAAGCGTAGTGATAGTGACTCCTTTAGAGCGGCAGCAAGAGCCTTGGTAGGAGTAATGATCAAAAGATCGTCGACATAGAGACTAACGATGGTAAAACCATCATCTCGGGCTTTGAGAAAGACGCAGCGGTCTTTGTGAAGGCGGGCAAAGCCCAAGGAAGCCATAAAAGTGACAAAAGTCCAGTACCATAGGTGAGGAGCTTGTTTGAGTCCATAAAGACTCTTTTGAAGCAGGCAGACATAGTCTCGCCTAGAAGCAGTATCAATGAGTGAGCCAGGAGGCTGCTCCATGCGTATAGCGCAGTCGATTTTGCCATTTAAAAAGGCGGTTTTGACGTCCATTTGTTCGCATTCCAAAGCATGGATGGCCACTAAGGCAAATAGGAAGCGTAGGACTTCAAGTCGAACAACTGGAGCAAAAATGTCCGTGTAGTCGATGTCTTTTTGTTGCATGAACCCTTTGACGACAAGTCGGACCTTGTAAGTACCATCGGCTTTGAGTCGAAAGACCCATCGACACGGTAGAACCGTTTCGTCATGACGACGTTTGACGAGCACATAAGTGCCGTTAGAGAGTAAAGACTCGTATTCAGACTTGGCGGCTATAAGCCATTTGTCGCGGTGGGGGCGTGACATGGCATCACGCCAGTCTTTGGGGTCGTTTTTGTTGGCACGGTCGGCAAGCAAAGCATATTTGAACAATGGTTCCATAGGAACTAACAGTTTGCGAGACCATCGAGGACACTTTTTGGGTTTTGATTTCAGTTTCTTTGAATAAATGTATGAAATCTTGTATTCTTGTGCAGAATTTTGATGCGAATCCGACAATTATACTCTCACGCTTTGAATCATCCATCCACGCGTGTTCTGGTCAAAAAGCATTTCACTTTGCCCCAAAAAGTATCCTTAAAATACATAATCCTGAGTAATTTAGTTATCCGGATACGTTATCTATTTAACGATGTACATTTGACTAGTATTCTTCAAATATCGCTCAAAATAAACCTGTTACAATTGATAGCTATTATGAAAGCGTCCTCGATGGTCTCGCGGACTGTAAAGCTCGAAGGTGGCATAGAGGTAGGTGGCGCAAGCACGAGTGCATGGTGCATATGGTTGTGGTAGGTGTCAAGTGACTCCAAAGGAGCTGTGTCCATAAGGAGGCAACTTGAGTAATGACTGATAAAGTCAAGTGTTGTTTTGGCCATTGATGGCTCAGCCGACAAGGCTGTTGATGGATGGGCCGAGAAGGCAGAATGGTTGCGACCATAGGATCGTCGTAAGGGAGTAGTAGTTGGGTCAAAGACCGGACTGGTCAACGAAAATGCCGAAAAGACATCGGAAATTCGTTGTGGTAGTTGCACGGAAAGTGCTGGGATGGGTCGAGACGACGGGGATTCAGTAGAAACTACGGGTGGCGACGAAGCCAAAGGCTTGTCATAGAGGAAGACACTAGACCTGTTGGTAATAATGGAGTGTAGTGGCGGCAATGGTGCGTTGGGTTCCAAGGTTGGAATAAAGTTGGGGTCGGTGGTAGAGTTTTGTCGATAAGCCACAGCAGCAGCAACATAGTTGATGGCTGGTAATTCGGACTCCCAGCAGGTGACGTCACGAGAGTAGATAAGTAGGTGAGAGTGCAAATGCACGAGGGTATAACCCTTGCGATCATGTGGGGGACCAACAAACATGGCCCTGACGACACGGGGATCGAGCTT